ATTAAAAATAAAAAGTTTATTAAATAAATAACAGAAGGATCAAATCATAACTCAGTATTTTGGAGAGCCAGAGGCTCTGAGCGGAGGTCTATTCCCCCTTTGTTAAAAAGGAAGATTAGCAAATGTTAGAGGAGGACAGTGAATATTGCTCAGCCTTAGAAAAGAAGGAAATCGTCCAATTTGCGGCAACATGGATGCACCCGGAGGACATTGTCCTAAGTGAAATAAACCAGACACAGAAAGGCAAATAGTGCCTGATCTCACTCATGTGTGGAATATAAAATAGTCAAACTCATAGATGCAAAGAGCAGAATCGTGGTTGTCAGGGCCTGGGGGCAGGGGGGAAGGGAGAAATGAGGAGACGTTGATCAAAGGTCAAAGTTTTAGTTAAGCCAGATGAATGAGTTCTGGAGTCTAATGGACAGAATGGCGACCATAGGTAACAACACCATATTGGAGACTTGAAATTCCCTAAGAGGATAGGATCTTTTTTTTTTTTTTTTTTTTTGACAGAGAGAAACACAGCGAAAGAGGGAACACAAGCAGGGGGAGTGGGAGAGGGAGAAGCAGGCTTCCCGCCGAGCAGAGAGCCCGATGCGGGGCTCGATCCCAGGACGCTGGGATCATGACCTGAGCTGAAGGCAGACGCCCAACGACTGAGCCACCCAGGCGCCCCAGGATCTTTTTTTTTAATTTAAGTTCAATTAATTAACATATAATGTATTATTAGTTTCAGACATAGAGTTCTTATATAATATCCAGTGCTCATCACATCATGTGTTCTCCTTACTGCCCATCTCCCAGTTGCCCCATTCCCCAACCCCTTCCCCTCCAGCCACCCTGTTTGTTTCCTATGGTTAAGAGTCTGTTATGGTTTGTCTCCCTCTGATTTTGTCTTGTTTTATTTTTCTCTCCCTTCCCCTATGATCCTCTGTTTTGTTTCTTAAATTCTACATATGAGTGAGATATGAAAATTATCTCTCTGATTAACTTATTTTGCTTAGCATAATACCCCCGGTTCCATCCACACCATCACAAATGGCAAGATTTCATTTTTTTGATGGCTGAGTAGTATTCCATTGTATGTAGAGACGACGTCTTCTTTATTCGTCTGTCAAAGGACATCTGGGCTCTTTCCATAGTTTGGCTATTGTGGACATTGCTGCTATAAACATTGGGACCCTTTCGGATCCCTACATTTGTCACAAAGAAAAATGGTTTAAACAGGAGTTTAATTAATGGCCTTGATTAGTAGTTTATAAGAAACAAATAAAAATTGTACCATGTCACCTTCTACAACTCTCTATCTCAGCAGAATAAAATCCATAGACAAGGCCCTACAACAGTGGTTCCTGAAGCTAAGCACACATGAGAAATACCTGGTGAGCTGGTGAGCTTGAGAACAGTGCCTATGCCTGGCCAGACCCCAGACCAACAGAATCAGAATCTCTGGGGATGGGGCTCAAGTAGGATTGCCAGATAAAATATAGGACACCCAGTTACATTTGAATTTCAGATACACAATGAATAATTTTGCATTCATAAAATTCTAAACACCTACCAAGTGCCCAGTACAGTCCCTGGTGCTGGGCACACAGCAGGGGACAAGGCAGCCGAGACCCCTACACTAAGAGTTTAGTGGGGATGGCAGACAGTAAACTGCAAACAGGAAACATTCAATCACTGAAGACACAGATACCACCCTGAGCGGAGACCGAAACGGAAAGCTGGAAACAGACGCAGGAAAAGGGAGGTCTCGGGGTTAGAGTGCCAGGCAAGGGAACCTCAAATGCGAAGGCCCCGAGACTGGCCCAAACTTAGAGCAGTAGACAAACTAAAAGAAGAATCAGAGAGAGCATGGCTATCTCAATACTCTGGAAACTCCAAAGTGCTGTATATACATGCAGGAAGGTTGTTTCTCTGGCTGGCACCCTTTACTTTTGAAGGTTTCCATCCAAGTCGCTTTCTGGCCCTCCACTCTGGGACCAAACCCCTGGCTAGCAGTGTGGCCCAGTGGAACCTTGCAGGGCCCTCTCTGGCCCTGAGGTCCTGCTGCTTCCTGCAACGCAAACAGACCCACACACCGCGTTTCGCGCCCGGGTTGGCCCGTCACTTCCTGATGCCGGCACCCCTGTCGCAGGGTGGCGGCGAGAAGAGCCGTATTGGGACACGCAATACGTGAGACTGGGCCCGGAAGCCCGGACCACGCGCCCGGGACGGTCTGCGCAGGCGGCGGGACGAGCCGGGGAGGAGGGGCGGGGCCGAGCGGGAGGGGCGGGGCGGCCGGGAGCTCGGGGCAGTACAGGCTGCGGAATCGGCCGGGAGGGGCCGAGGGGGCGGGGCGAGCCCGGGGGCGGGGCCGAAGGGCGAGCCGGGCGGGAGGAGTCCGAGCCTTTGCCGCCGCTGCCGCCGCCGCCAGGTAGGAAACACGGGTTCAAATGGGCCGCGGGCGAGGTTCGCCCACGCCGGGGCCGCTCCCCACCGCGGGCCTCACGAGGGTTGCTCCCGCAAGGACCGACCCGGCCCCGCGGGCCTTTGCCCCCCACCCCGCCCTCCGCCCCCCGTGGGCGCCAGGCCGCCCAAGGAGTGGCCGCACGCTGCTCCCGGCGCTGACTGCCAGGAGTCCAGGCTGCCTGGTTGTTGCTTGGTTGCTTTTAGAGCGGAAAGTGCCCTTAGGAATTACGTAGGGCGGCAGATGGGGAAACTGAGGCCGGGCAGAGTACCCAGGCATCTCCTGCCTTCCAGCTCGGGCTCTGAGCCCGCAAAGATCGCCCAGCACCTTCCTGGATAAGTGAGGACGCTGCTCTGGTCCGGGCAGAGAAAGGAACTTGCCCAAGGTTACACAGGGTCACTGGGCTTACCCTTGTCCCACGAGCCCCTCCACGGACCAGTGAGGAAGGTCTCCCGGCACTCTTCACCCCCTTTCTCCTTGCCCTTACAGCCCTGTGAGCTCATAGCACACATTCAAACTGAGAATTCCAGTAGGGGACTGGGAATTACTTCTGGGAAAAAGCCCAGGCCCTCAGTTACAGATGGGCCATGTTTCTCCCTCTGCCACCTGTTGGTATAGCAGGAAAGAAGAACTGATACTAACTTTTGGGGGGACTATACAGTGAGGTAAACAGGCTCAGAGAGATGACTTCCCCAAGACAGCTCCCCTAGGAAGGAGAACATTTTCAGAACCTGGGTTACCTGACTCCAGAGGCTGACCCAGTGCCTGGCACAGGGACAAAGTAGGTTTTCACCGCATCCTTTCTCTGTTCTGCCCCGGAGAGCACAGCGGGCCTAGACTCTGGGTCTTGGCCTAGAGACCACTGCCTAACACAGAGTAGGAGTTAACATGTTACTTCTCTTTTCCCTGACTCAGTACTCATTTCACTGCCAAAAACCTGAAACCCCTTTAAGTTTTAGGGGCATCCATTCATTTATTAGACACAGAGCACCTACTTGTGTGCCAGTGTGTGAACTGTTTAGACACTGAAAATACAGCATTGAACAAGAGAAGTGTTGCCCTTGGGGACTACACTAGGAAGAGTGGGACAAAACACTGCTCTCCATTCGGGGGGGGGGAGGGGTGGGGAGGGCTGGGCAGAGAGGACCAACCGCTGGAATCTTACCAACTGTGAAGTATGTGCAGAGGGCAGAGAGAGATTGAACCTCATGGTGTCAAACCCTCGTGGGCCTTGTTCGAGATGCCCAGCCAGCCTGAGCTTTTTCCCGACTCCCCAGGGATTTGGTGGGGAGGAGCTAGGTGGGTAGAGGGTGGTCCAAAGGAAGCCCTAAACTAACGTCAGAGTCTGGAAACCTGGCATTGCCCCTTCCTAGCTGTGTGACCTTGGTTATGTCACATCACCTCTGTGGGCCTCTGTTTCACTTATCATTCAACAGGTGTCATAAAAGTGCATGGCATTGATTATATCGTGTCAGAATGCTTCTTAAAGCATTTGGATTCTCAATATATTTAAAAGATAGAGCTAATGGGGCGCCTGGGTGGCTCAGTTGGTTGAGCGTCCGACTCTTCCATTTCAACTCTGGTCATGATCTCAGTGTCATGGGATCGGGCCCTATGTTGGGTTCTTCGCTGAGTGTGGAGCTTGCTTGGGATTCTCTCTCTCACTCTCTCTCTTTCCCTCTCCCTTTGCCCCCCTCCCTGCTCACACATGCTCTCTCTCTCTCTCTCTCTAAAATAAATAAATAAATCTTTAAAAGGTAGAGCTAAACAGAATTTTCTTACAAATTGGATGTTGGGCATGAGAGAAAAAAGTCAAGAATGACTCCAAGTTTGGGGGTTGAGTATCCAGAAGAAAGAAGTTGGTATTTACTGAGTGGTAGCAATCTGGGAATACAGTAAGTTTTGGGAAGCAGCCAAGAGATTCATTTGGTTTTGTTATGTTTGGGACTTCCAAGTAAAGGAGTCTTGTAAGCAGATGTACACACGGTTCTGGAGTTCAAGGGGAGAGTTCTGAGCTAAAGTTATCAATGTGAATGTCAGCAGCCAATAGATGAAATTTAAAGCCATGGAAATTAGCAGGATAGAAAAGAGAAAAATTATGAGAACTGAGCCTTGAAGTACTCAAACATTTAGGGAAAGAGAAGATAACTAGGAACCTGCAAAGATGACTGAAAACAAGCCGGTGGTGAGAAAGAGGAAAACAGAAGGAGTGGTGTCTTGGAAGCTACTAAGCCAAATTTCAGAAGATTCTCCTCATATATCCTCCCTGTGGATAAGTACTCTTCCCATGAAGGCTTAAGGTTGATTATTCCCAAGAATTTAAGGAATTCAAATATATGTCTGTAAATTTAAAAATAGTAATTTTTAAAGTTGCATTACAGTAGCAGGATCATGAATAATATAATATTAATTTTATTTTAATTATCTTAAGTGTTTAATCATGTTTTCAATAAAATAAAGCTTCATGAAAAGAATTGGGAAAAAAAAAAAAAAAGAATGCTTCTTAAATGGTAAAGCATGGTCCAAAGTGTGGCCTCCAGCAGAGGCCCTGCCAAATCAGGAGTAAGCAAGGGTGGATTTTATTAGAGCATAGTTATTTAGAGGCTCCAGCGACCCTGTTGGTAACCTGTTACCACTCTCTGTAGAGAAATGTAAGAGGCAGAGGTGGGGGTGGCCGAGTTCCAGGCAAGGGGGCTGAGGCCCCCTGCCAGGGTCAAGAAATGGAATTTTTGCCACACAGCATTTCAGTTTCTACAGCGCTTGCTGTCATGTGCGTGGTAGCAGACAGATGTGGGCTCAGGTCCTAGCTTAGTAGCTTCCTGAGTCATCTTGGACAAGCCACGTGACCTCTCTGTGCCTCAGTTTCCTCATGTGTAAAATACTGTCTCTAAGGTTGTTGTGAGGATGAAAGTAGCTGAGAACACAAAGGCCCTGTGTCTGGCGCTCTGGGAGCCTTTTTGCTTTTTCGACCAAAGGCCCAGGAGCAACTGGATGGGCACCGTTGACCGAGTAGGTTGCCACAGCTCAGCATGGAAAGCTCATGAAGGCTGGAGCCTAGAGAATTTCTCCTGAGCCTGAAACCATGTCTCCTTGCGCTGGTGCTCCAGACCGCAAAGGTGGAGCCAGCTACCTGGGCCCGCACCTGTGAGACCTGAGACAGGTCGTGAGATTTATCACCGGGTCCTTTTTGGCCTGTGTGTTTTGTGAACACTGCTATACATTTTAAACTGAGGCTGCAGATGAGATTGGTGGGGGGGGGCTTGCTGCCTTGAATGTGTTCTAGTGGGCAGAAGGGGGCAGAAGGGGGGGCATCAGTCCATTTTCTACTTAGCCACCCTCCACTTGGGCAGTCAGACCAATTCAGCTGTACCACCCTCTGCTTAAAATTCTGCTGTGGTTTCCTGTTCGTTTTAGGGCAAAGAACAAAACCCATGAATATGGGCCATAAGGCCCTGCACAGTCTGGCCTATTATACCTCCAGCTACATCTCAGATCACTTTATCAGTAGCCCCCTGTGCTTGAGGCATGCTGCCCCCTCCCTCCTCAGGGCCTTTGCACATGCTCTTCTAGACCACCGTTCCCCCCTTATCTCCCTTTTCCCAGGTTAACACCTCCTTATCCTTCAGATCTGAGCCCAACCCCAGGCCATGAGACAGCCCCAGGAGTGTGGGGGGTTTAGTTCCGGAGGGAGTTGCATACTCATTTGGGGGGTAATTTCTGCCTGTACCCTGTCCACCACCTCTAATGTAACCCTCCTGACTTTCAGGACTGGACTGAGTTTGCTGAGAGGTGCTGAGGGATGAAATCTACATTTAGGAGTACCTCTTGAGCAAATACGGAAACCTCACTTTATATAAAACTGTATTGTCCTTCTTCAAAAATGTAAGGCTGAGGGGTGCCTAGATGTCTCAGTTAGTTGAGCATCTGCCTTCGGCTCAGGTCATGATCTCAGGGTCCTGGGATCAAGCCCCGTGTGGGGCTCCAAGCTCAGCAGGGAGTCTGCTTCTCTCTCGCTCTCTGCCCCTCTCCCCACCTGTGCATGTGTTTGCACGCGCGCAAAATATATAAGGCTGAAGTCATTTCGCTGTTGTAGGGGTAGGTGTTCACGCATTCGTTCCTTCATTCATTCATTCCGCACACAGGGAGTGAGCACCTACACTGCCAGGCACCGTTCCAGGGTACATCAAGGAAAGACACAAAAGCCACTGCCCTGGTGGAGCTTTCTCTAGACAGATTGCCCACAAACAAGTAAACCTGTAGCCCCCTGCGTGGGAAGGAAGTCATGCAGGGTCTGCTGGGAGGGAGGAGAGGCGGGTCTGCTCTTTCTGCTGGCCAGCCGGGGGAAGCACTGATGTCCTGAGCCTCGTCCACTCTCACCCTGACCTTCCCGGGCTGGGAGACCGGCACTTAGGCAAGCAGCCTTTGGGGAGGGGGCTGCCCAGACGAAGCCTGGGGGCTTTAGAGGCAGCAGGCTCCAGGTCAGCTGAACAACTCCAGGGAGGCTCATGGCAGTCCTTGGGCCCCTTTGTAAAGTGGAGAAAATCTTGGGGTTTGAAGTCACACAGGCCTGCAGGCTGCATCGTGGCACTGCCAGCCAGGTGGCCTCAGTTTTCCCATCCGTATAATGGGGACAGTGACAGTTTCTTCCTCGTGAGGTCATTGTGAGGCTGAAATGCGTTCCTGAGAGTAAGCCCGCAGGAGAGCTTTGCTGATTTTGTTATGAAACTGTGCTTTTGAAAAACAATCCGTTTGGACATGAGGGCCCACCTAGAGGCAGGAGTTGAGGCCTGAGGTGGGAATCCCGGTATGGGCAGGAAGCAGCAGATGGTGTGGTTTGGCTGAGGCCTGGCTAGAAGAAGGGGACTGGAGGAAAATGACCCCGGAAGGCAGGTTAGGTCTGTCCCAGAGGTGCTTAGGGCAGGCTGAGAAGTGGGGTGTTAGCCTGTGCACAGATGGGAGTGAGTGAGATTCGTCTAACCTGGTGGCTTTCAGTTTGTGTTTGAGATCTCCTGGCCCTGCCCAGGACATCGACTAGACTAAAGAGAGCCGTGCAGCATCAAGGTTGAGATGGCTGCCTCGGGGCTAAGACCCAGGTGTGTTCAAATCCCACATTACTTGCCCTGTGGCTTTGACCTTCATTTCTTAGGGCCTCTGTGTCCCTCTTGTAAATTGGGGATAACAGCACCTACCCTGGAGGACTATTGGGAAGAAATGAAACAATGGGGGGAAAGGGGAGGCCCGTGGCTAACATTTACCAAACATTCACTGTTATAATTTATAAAAATTTAATTGTGATAAAATAACATAAAATTTATTGGGGTGCCTGGCTGGCTCAGTCGGTGGAGCGTGCAACTCTTGATCTCCGGGTTGTGAGTTCGAGCCCCACCATGGGAGTGGAGATTACTTAAAAAATGAAATTAAAAAAAAAAACATGAAATTTACCATCTTAACCATTTTTAAGTGTGCAGGTCAGTAGTGTTAAGCCTATTCACATCACTCTGCAACCAGAACTTTTCCACTTGCAAATCTGAAACTCTGTATCCATTCAACAACTGCCCGTTTCCCCCTCCCCCAGCTCCTGGAACCCACCATTCTGCTGTCTGTCTGTGTAATTTTGACTACTCTAGGGTACCTCCTGTGAGTGGAATCAGACGGTATTTGTCTTTCCGTGACTGGCTTATTTCGCTTAGCACAGTGTCCTCAAAGTTCTTCCATGGTGTAATTCCCTTCCTTTTTTAAAAGCTCAATAATATTCCATTGTATGGATATATTGCTTTTTTGTTGTTGTTCATCCATTCATCCATTGATGGACGCTCGGGTTGATTCTACCTTTTAGCTATTGTGAATAATGCTGCTATGAATATGGGTGCACAGATATCTTTTTGAGACCCTGCTTTCATTTCTTTTGGAGGGATAATACCCCCAAAGTGGTCTTGCTGGATTATTTACTGCTATAATTTGAAGGTGAGGCATTGAGGGTCCCCATCGTATCTCCTTTTGCCCACCAGAGTAAGAGAAATCCCTGGGGCCCTGTGGGACAGTTTGAAAACCAGCAGATCAAGTAAACCATAACAAACTTTGCCATTTCCACCCCCCACCTCCTTCCTCAGCACATGTGCCTCCCATTATGTTTTAGTTGTTCCCAAGTAGAAACCACCATTCATTCATCAGATGTTTATAAGTGCCTACTGTGCTTGCGTAAGGGCAGAAAGAGATAGACAATAAGCAACGGGTGTAAACAAGTAAATGATCCAGTATGTCGGACAGTGATTCGTGCTGCGGACCAAGCAGAGGAGCCAGGGAAAGGGGATTGGGATGAAAGGCAGGGGCAGGGTGGTCTCACTGATCTGTGAGATTTAAGCAGAGCTAGGAAGGAGGTGAGGGAGCTGGCCATGTGGTTGTCTGCAGTAAGAGCATTCCGGGCAGAAGGAACAGACTATGCAAAGACCTTGAGGGGAGAGCGTGCCTGATGGGCTCCAGGAGCAGCGAGGAGGGTGTGCAGCTAGAGCAGAGCGAGTGAGGGGGAGAGGGGGAGGAGGGTGGAGAGGCTAGGGGCCAGATTGCACATAGCGCAGGCACCACTGGAAGAACTGTGACTCTGGAAAGGGGGTTAGTGGAGGTTTGGAGCCGAGAAGGACATGATGACTTCAGGTGGAGATGGAGCTCTCTGGCCGCAGCGTGGTGGACAGCTACTGGGGAGAACAGACAGAGCAGGAGTCCCGTGGGGAGGCTCCTGCCGGGATCCACCTGAGATGAGGTTGGCTTGCACCAGGGTGCTAGTGGGGGAGGAATGAAGCAACCGTAATGTGGACGGAGTGTCATACAACCTGAGCGTCCATCCCAATGGCACGCTGTCCCCCCACTCCACCACCTGCCCATCCTCCAGGCTGCTGAAGTGAGATGGGATAGGAACTTTCCCTCTGTGCCAACATCCCTCTCTTCCTCTGGTCTGTAGTGGGATTGTCCAAAACACTCTGGATTCTTCTGTGTTGGAACTGTTGCCATGGAGACCTCCTGAGATGCTACAGTACCAGTGGCTTCCAGTTTAACGTCCAGAGAGAGGTATCGAATGAATGGGCTTCTCTCCTAAAATGCTGGAGGGGGGCGGGGTGGGGGAGTGGACTGGGACTGCCTAGAATCCTCCCTTCTAGGACCGTCTCAAGGTTGTGTGTGTGTATGAACTTTGAACTACCATCTTCAGAGTTTCTGGCCTAAGAACGATGCTGTAGCTCTATTTGTTGTGAAGGGTTTCTTCAACCAAATGCTTTTCTTTCTCCTCGGCTCCAGAACAGTTAGTCCCCAGCCCTCCCATAATACCGTTGTTATCCCACTAGTGATGCTTCTGTTATCGTACTGCAGGCTCATTTAAAAACTCAACTGTAGGGGTGCCTGGGTGGCTCAGTCAGCTAAGTGTCCGACTTGATTGCAGCTCAGGTCATGATCTCAGGGCTGTGAGATCAAGCCCGCCATCAGGCTCTGCGCTGGGCATGGAGTCTGCTTGAGATTCTCCCTCTTCTTCTTCCCCTCCCTCCATCCCCCTCTCTAAAAAAAAAGAAAGAAAAGAAAAAAAAACCTCAATTCTAACCAGTTCACCAGAAAAAGAAGGAAAGAGAAAGAGAACACCTCTCCCCACCTGCCCCATACACATACATTCACATCAAATTTGACCTTGGCCTTTACTGGCTGCTCCAAGGGGTAAAAAAGGCCATAATGGGCTGCCGTGTAAAGAAGTTTAGGGGCGGGGCGCCTGGGTGGCTCAGTCAGTTAAGCATCTGCCTTTGGTTCAGGTCATGATCTCAGGGTCCTGGGATCAAGCCCCGCATTGGGCTCCCCACTCAGCAGGGGCTCTGCTTCTCCCTCTCCCTCTCCCTCTGTCCCTCCCCACCACTCATGTATGCTCTCTCTCTCTCTCAAATAAATAAATAAGATCTTTATTTAAAAAAAAAAAAGAAACACAAAAGAAGTTCATTCTTGCATGTGATCTCCTAAAAGCTCCGGTCATGGAGTTTTAAGGATGATTTAAAGGATGTTCCAGGATGATATTGATCATATTTGTTTTCTCCTCGGTGCTGACTTGGGGACTTTTCATCTCCCCAAGAGGAAATCCTGCTGAGTCGTTTACAGCGTTACTTAACAAATATGGGCTGGGCACCTACTGTGGGTGCTTGCAGAGCCAAGGACAACTGTTGTGGAATGGCTCTCTACCCCCACTACTGATAATAACAGCTCAGCCAGCATTTTCTTTGGCGGTAGGTAATGTAGCTGGCTAGATAAAACTCACAATCATAGACCATCATGCCACCGCCCACGCCGACGTAATGCTCGTCTATCCTGGGCCCGGGCTTTGCAGTCCAGCCATGGGTGAGCGTTCGCCGTGCTGGCTCTCGCTATGTATATGTTCTCTCCCTGCCAATTGGTGCTCTTCTGGGTCAAGTGCAGGACTCTCAGAGTCTCTTGGTGTCTTCACAGCACCTGGACAGGAACAGATCCCCAGGAGACCCGTGATATTGGGAAGTTACTCCGTCCATCAGTGACCTCCTAGGCCCTGGGTGCCACTGGACCAGCTCTCTGCACGCTAGTTGGCCCCAGGGCGTGGAGTCACCACTGGCCCTGACCACTGGTCTTTTTCTCACTGCGGGAATCCAGCACTCCATCTTAAAACCAGTTTAGCTTCTCAGACATACTTGAGAATCTCAGCTCCTCTTAGACAGACCCTGATCCCAAATCAGACCAAGCAAGGGGTAGAGTCCCCTGAGGACCAGTGTACACAGTTCAGGTGATAGATTTTCCAACCCCACAGCTGCCAGCACACTTCCTCAGTTGGGAGAGTTTGGGGGCCCAGCCCATCCAAGGGGACAGTCCACAGGGTTGGAAACAGTCCTCCATCACGTCATCATGGGTAGCTGGGGATTGCCTCAGCCTGTCATACTACCCTTTGTCCATTTTGTTGATTACAAGACCTGGTTGTTGGTCAGTGGAATGGGACTTAAGTGTGACCTCAGCCCCATGGGCTTGGTGGGCCACACGGGGCCAGGGCTGTTCGAGGTAAAGCACTCTTCTTCTGGGGATCGAGAGCCAAATTGGTTTTGATTAAAAAATTTTTTTCGTTATAAAAGCACCAATGCGCTCAGGATGGAAAATGTTAAAAACACAGAAAACTGGGGCACCTGGGTGGCTCAGTCAGTTAAGCGTCTGCCTTCGGCTCAGGTCATGATCCCAGGGTCCTGGGGTCGAGCCCACATCGGGCTCCCTGCTCCGCGGGGAGCCTGCTTCTCCCTCTCCCTCTGCCCTGCCCCTGCCTCCCCACCTCCAACCTCGCTCTGCTTGCTCTCTCTCTTGTGCTCTCTATCAAATAAATAAAATCTTTTAAAAAATACAGAAAAGTAGGAAGAACAAAACCCAATTACTTCTAGTCCCACAGCCCCGCCACCGAGAGACAATGATCATTGACCTTTGGCTAGATTTCCTTGTGATCTTTTTGTTCGGTGAAACGTTTTTTTAAAAAACCTACCTGGAATCATATTGTATATCCAGTGGTAGGCTGTTAACCATCTCTCTGGAAAATAAAATCCGTCATGGGTAGCATCTGCCACTTTCTGTGGTGTCACTGCTCCCACTATGGCCCATCTCAGGCTGCCAGAGTCGTGCAGAATCAGTTCTCCCCAGCCAGAATGAGCCTGTGTCGGCACCAATGTTATAATTTAAAATCATGACCTTTTTTTTCTGATCTTAAAATCAATATATACTCATTACCGCAAATTTTTAAAACATGAACAATAAAGAAAAACAGTCAACGGTCCAGAATCCAAGACCCTCCTACTTAGAGATAGAGACACTCTGCTGGCCTCCACATACACTAGGGAGCTTTCTTCAGAGTTCAGAAGCAACACATATTTATGGCAGAAAATTGGGAAAATCCAGAAAAGTCTCCGGTATCTCGCCTTTCATAGAGAATTTGGGAGAATATCCTTCCAGCCGTTTTGTCTTCTCTGCGTCTTTCTAACATGAATGGACTCATAGCTTGAATCTCGTAGTTTGTAGGCGTGGTGTTGGCACATTCTCACGCCCCAGGGGAAGGGGCTATCCAGGAGAAGGGCCTTATCCCTGATAACTCCTTTAAAAAGGATTAAAGAGGCAGAAAATAATGTTCTGGTTCTTTGGCATGGAAAATGGCCGTTAGGATGAAACTCAGATTATTTGAAGTTTTGGGGGACCCTGGGTAATTCCAGATACTTGGCCCCTGCCCCATCTCCCTTCCTCATCTGATGCTCAATTTAAGTGTAAGAACAGGAGTGCCTTTGGGGAGAGAATTAGCAGGAAAATCTAGCTCTTAAGCCTAAAAGCTAGTTCATTCATTCATTCCTGTAACAGACATCTTTTTTTTTTTTTAATTTATTTTTTTTTTTAAAGATTTTATTTATTTATTTGACAGAGAGAGACACAGCGAGAGAGGGAACACAAGCAGGGGGAGTGGGAGAGGGAGAAGCAGGCTCCCTGCAGAGCAGGGAGCCCGATGCGGGACTCGATCCCAAGACCCTGGGATCATGACCTGAGCTGAAGGCAGTCGCTTAACCAACTGAGCCACCCAGGCGCCCCATCTTTTTTTTTTTATTAAAGATTTTTTTCATTTATTCATTTGAGAGAGAGAGGGCAAGGGAGCTAGAGCACAGGCAAGGGGGAGGGGCAGAGGGAGAAGGAGAAGCAGACTCCCCACTGAGTGGGGAGCCCAATGTGGGGCTCGATCCCAGGACCCTGAGATCATGCTGGGGCCAAGGCCCAGAGGTAGTAGGTAGAAGTGGTAGCGAGGCTCCCCTGAGCCCCAGGCTAACCCGATCCCTCTGTCTCTCCTCCTCCAGATCCCACACCCTATGGACCCACAGGCTGGTTTTTCTGGTTTGTTTCCCCTAGGGCAATTGGCATATTTCTCCAAGAACCTTCAAGAAGCTGAACAGCCTGTTTTCAGACTTAGAGAGGGGAGGCCAACAACTGTTTCCTGAAATTTGGGTAAGTGTTATTTAAGGTTTCTTTTCCTTCACAACCTCACCATTATTTAAGATTGTCTTATTTTAAATGTTCTGAGTTTTGGGGATTAACATAAGAATAAAAAAATAAATAAATAAATGTTATGAGTTTGCATATTGTCTGTCTCCTTCGTGGGAACATACCTCCACGATGGAGGGGTGCTGTCTGCCTTTGTCTCTGCTGTGCCCGCAGCGTGTGGGGTGACACCTGGCGCCTATAAGCACATATATGTGTTTATTAAACGCACTAGTTCATTTGGGGTGAGGTGGACATTTATTTTTCATTTACTTAGAACTTAAGAAAAGGTCTTTAAAATTCTGTAGAGACATCCTGCTGCTTTTTTCAAAGCTTTCTGTCTTAAAATAATTACAGTCTCACAGGCAGTTGCAAAATAAGTACCGAGAGGTCCCACAAACCCTTACTCCGCATCCCCGTGGCCGCTGCCTTTACAATGAAGTCTGACTCCTGAGCTGGAAGAACGTGGTCCGGCATGGTGTGGCCCCCAGCAGCTTCCCCACCTGCTCATTTCTTCCCTCGCACCCCTCAATGCCCACCTACTGTCCAAGGCCTGGCTACACTGAGCATCTTTTTGGTTCTTCAAAAGCATCTTCTCTCTTCTACCTCTGGGTCTTGATACATGCCATCCCCTGTGCCCAGAACGTGCTCTTCCTACCACCCCACCCCTATCTGACGCCACCTTCTCTTGGAAGCCACTTCTGGGCTGCAGGCCCCTGTTTGTATCCCTCCATCTGTGCACCCCACCCCCACCCAATCCCAGTGTTTGTCCTGCTGGTTTGTCATCGTCTGTTTGCTTGTCTGTCTCTACCATGGCGCAGTTTCTTCTGCGGAATACCCTCTCCCATCCACCTGCTGGGCTGTCCCCTTGTTTCCTGCAGACACCTTTCAACCATATACCGTTGTCACCCCCTCCTACCCCATCACTTCGTAGCCCCTCACCCTAATTGTTCTTCCCAGATGATGGCTTCCTGACCCAGTTGTTTAGGGCGTGGATCCTACAGTCAGACCTGAGTGTGAATCTTGGTTCCACCACTAACTACATGATCTTGGGCAAGTTACTTAGATTATTATCATGTATTGCTGTATTCTTTTTTTAAAGATTTTATTTATTTATTGGGGCACCTGGGTGCCTCAGTCATTAAGCGTCTGCCTTCAGTTCAGGTCATGATCCCGGGGTCCTGGGATCAAGCCCCCCATCAGGCTCCCTGCTCGGCGGGGAGCCTGCTTCTCCCTCTCCCACTCCCCCTGCTTGTGTTCTCTCTCTTGCTGTCTCTCTGTCAAATATATAAATAAAACTAAAAAAAAAAAAAAAGATTGTATTTAGATTGTATTTATTTATTTATTTATTTTAGAGAAAGAGAGCGAGTGAGCTGAGGCAGGGGCAGCAGGAGAGGGAACCTCAAGTAGACTCTGCGCTAAGCACATAGCCCAATGTGGAGCTCAGTCTCACGACCCTGAGATCTTGACCTGAGCCAAAACCAAGAGTCGGACGCTTCACCGACTGAGTCACCCAGGTGCCCCCTGTCTCCCACCAGAATGCAAGCAGGGAAAAGCACTTAGCCTCTCTGAGTTTGTTTCTCAGCTATAGGAGGGGTGAATCATAATGGTTCACGTCATACTTAACCTTACATGATACTTGTGAGAATTAATTGCATTGGAAAGTGCTTTGTAAACTGTTACATGCTGTACAGATGTTGGTTTGTTGCCTTTAACTACTTCAGGGTTATTTTGCAAAGCTAATGAAATATTCGCTGTGCACAGACTTTTATTCATTTTTTTAAATATTCATTTATTTATTTAATTTTTTTTT